GGCCGATACACCCAGGCCCTCAGGAAGGCACTTGTGGGGGGGATGGAAGAGGGACCCTCAGCTGCTCCTGAATCACTGAATTCATCTTGCTCTTCATCGTCTTCCTCTGTGATCTTAGTGGGTTGACACTGCCAGGGCCTGAGCAGGGGCCTCTGGGCTGGAACTGAGTGCGGCTCTGGGTCAGCTTCTCCGTTCTCAGCCTTTTTGTCCTTCTCCTCCTCAGATTCCTCTCCTGAACGACACTCCCAGGCCCTGGGGTGGGAGCCTGCAGTTGAGGGGGAAATGGAGGTCTTCGTGGCTTCTTTATTTGTTCTTTCTTCTTCCTTGGTTGCTCGATCCTCTTCCTCCCCTGAGCAATCTACCCAAGCTGTGGGTTTGGATCCCGGAGATGAGGAGGAAGTGGATGTTCTGGGACTTTCTTTGTTTATAGCTTCTCCATCCTTCTCCTCCTCCACCACTGGACAACACTCCCAGTGTGACGGAGGAAAAGAGAACGTGATGGCTTCTTTATCTTCAGCAACTCCTCCTTCCTCAGATTCCTCCTCCCTAGGAGGGTCTTGCAGGGTTCTTATCAGAAGGCTGGGGCACAGGGGAACAGGCTGGCCATCTATAAATTCACTTCCCTGCTCTCTAGGGACACTGGTGGCTTCCTCCTCACCATACTCTTCATCAGCATCATCTGAGAGTCCCCAGGCTTCAAGAAGAGAGCTGTTGGCTTTCAGGTCAGGGCAGGTCCCCCATGATGCTTCTCCATCCTCCTCAGTTGCTTCACGGTCTCCAGCCTCCTCTTGAGGGTACCTGCCCCCGGGGGCATGGTGGGTGGCCAGAGAAGCCTTAGTTTCTCCCTCCAAGCCAGCTTCTTCCTGCTCTGCACTCGTTACTGCTTCCACGAGCCAGGGCTCTGGAGATCCTGGGCCCCTCAGGCGGCTCCAGGCCCGGCTGAGGAGGCCCATCAGCGGGGAGAGGAGGAGGAAGGGGTGGGCATCCTTCCAGGGGGCGGACTGATGGGGCACTTGGCCTGGGGCCATCTGTCTGGGCTGGGAAAAAGGCAGGAAAAAAGGGAATAAAGTTTAGAAGCCATTTAGGGGATAGCATCAGGGAATGACCGTGAGTCACAGCAACAGAAGTAGTAACACAAATAGCAACGCAGAGTCCCCGCCCACATTCCTTTCTAATCCCAGCCACTCCCCATCTCTCTCCCGTGGTTCTCACCTCTCCTCTCAATACCCAGGAGTCTAGGTCCCCAGTTCTCTCCTTCCTTAGACCCAAGAGGCCAAGCCCCCAGCCCCATCTTCCCTCAGACCCAGAAGTCCCGGTCCCAAGAAGTGAGAACGCAGGTCCTCTGCTTGCTTCCCGTGGGGACAAAGTCCTAGTCCCCGGTTCTCGCATCCTCCTGAGGATCGACAAGTCGGGCCCTCATCACCCTCTTCCCACAGAGACTCAAAAATTCCGACTCCCATATGGTTCCTTCATTGGAGACCCAAGAGTCTGGCCCCTAGACCCCTCCTCCGTTAGGCTCAGCACTCCAGGGTCCCAATCCCTTCTTCTTCCTAAGTCCGAGCCCTGGAGTCCGTCCCTGTCCCCCACGCCTCCCCGGACACAAGAGTTCTAGCTCCCAGGCCCTCCTTCCTCAGGACCCAGGAGTCCCGGCCCCCGAACCCGCCTGTCTCGGTACCCAGAAGCCCAAGCTCCCTCCTCATTACCGACCAGGAGTCTGATCCCCAGCCCCCAGCCCCTCGGGACCCAGGCGTTCCGACCCCTCACTCACCGGCTCGGGGCTGTGCGTCACCCCGGGGGCAGGAGCGCGGGCTCGGTCTTCCACAAGCGATCGCAGGTCCGGACGGCTCGGGAGGCCAGTGCGTTCATTTCGCCCTCCGGCGTCGGGTTCGGGGACTCAAGTCACTCAAGACACCAAGCGCTGTCGCGACAAACGGACGCGGAGTCGTGCCAGAAGATACATGCAGTCAACAGCTGGGAGCCAATCAGCTCTGACGCCGCCCGCGAGACTTTTATAGTCTAACGCGGCCGGACGTGATGACGTCACGAGGAGAGGCGGGGTTTCGAAACGAAGACGTGGGGGAAGGGAAAATAGGGTTGGAATTCTCGCGGAAAGTCCGGGCTTTGTGACGTCACGGCGGAGTTTCGGAGCGTAGCCACGCCCGGAAGCAGGCGAGCTGTCAATCAAACGCGTGAATGGCTTCAGCAGAGAGGGACGTCTCTAAACTCCTGTTCCAGGCAAACGCCTTCCCTCCCCAATTTAACCAGCAGGTCCCAGTCTAGACTCTCCCACCTTCACGTCCTCCCCGGTGTGGGATAGTATTATTGTTTCCATTTCGCAGATGAGGAAAGTGAGTCTTGGGAATGAAGTTACTTGCCCAGGGTGGTCACAGTAGAGTCTAGATTCATTGCAAATGAGAACAAGAATGTCAGCACTCTGAGGGCAGCACTTGGGTTTGCTCGGTGCTTTCTTCTCAGTGCCTGGCACACAGTAGGTGCTCAGCAAATATGTAGTGAGTGGATACTAAACCAAAAGCTCAGATCCCTTCCTGGCCTCAGGCACAAGATTCCACTCCTCAATTTCACCTGCTTCAAACTCATACGAAAGCCTTGCTTTTACACAAACTCAAATTCTTGCTGGGTAGCATGAATGAACCTCATGGGAGGTCTGCCACAAGTTCCAGGCCCAGGGACACAGCCCCAATTCCAGCCCTTGCGGCACCATTCCCCCTCCCGGGTCCACAATTCTTCTCAAAATACGCCCTGAACCATGCTTCCCTCCTAAGGGGGTCATCCTCAGTCTAGAACAGAATTCTCACCCGGATCTGAGGTGGAGATCTGACCCTGGCCACTTGACCCTGCTCTAGCCAGAATCCAGGATCCAGGGCCACTCCCTCCTCCCTGCAGGACTGGGACCCTTCCACTCAAAGCCACGCTTCCAGACCCCCGGCTCCATTCACAACTCAGGAGTCCTGCTTCCTGGCTCACACCTGCTCAGGTACCCAGAAATCTGAGCTCCCACCCCTTCCAAGATCCAAGCTACCTCCATTCAGGGTGCCAATGACCCATGCCCCTGATGACAACCAGCCCACCGGGGCCCTGGAGTCCACGCCCACCTCCTACTCTCCAAACATTTAGGAATCCCAGTCTCAGCCCTTATGGGACCCCGGCTTTCCAGGCCCCCACCGCAGCAGGGACCCAGGAGTCAGGGGGGCCCCAGCCCCTCCCCTCAGCTGTGGGGGTAGCTGAGCCAGGGGGTCAGGCTGTGGTGGGGAGGCCAGGAGGGGCGGGGTCAGCCGGGATTGGGAGGGGAGACAGCAGCGTGGGCGGCTGGCAAACCAGCAGAGAGGAAAGAGAAACTGGGAGAGGGAGGAAGAGAGAAAGTGAGAAGGAGAATCTGGGAGAGAGGAGGAGACAGAAGACCTGGAGGGCAAGAGAGAGAAAGAAAGAGGAAGAGATTGTGAGGGGGAGGGAGAGGGAGAACGAGATGGAGACTTAAGGAAGAGACTCTCTGAGTTCGGGGGAAAAAGATTTGGACAGAAACAGAAAGATTGGAAGAGAAAGTGATACGGGGGGTGAGGGAGAGAATGAGTGACAGAGAGACTAGAAGAGACAGAGATTAGAGAGACAGAAGGTGAGACTGGAGACAGAGACAGCCGAAAAGAAAGGGAGAGTGTGAGAGAAAGAGAGACTATAAGAGACAAGAAACAAAAAGAGTGTGAGGGAGCAGGTGAGAAGCAAGACTGAGGTCTATGAGAGGCAGCACCTAACAGACGGAGAAGGAGGGAGACTGTGGTCCCAGCACCCACACAGCCCTCTTGCTCCCTGTTGTTGGGACCTCAGAGCTGGTAAGTTTCCTGGCTGGTCTGGGAGGGGCTGCCTGGGTGTGCATTCCTGGGTGGTGCCCCAGGGCTTGGCAGGGGTGGTTTAGGGGTGCATGTGGGAGGGCAGGAGACAGGTAGCTGGGGGCAGCCGGAAAGAGGCAGGGCATGGGGGGGGTCCCTCAGCACAGAGAGGGTCAAATTCCTGGCCAGAGGGCAGAGGGCAAGAATAAAGGACCCCCTATTCTCTGTCTTGGGCTGCAGACAGCTGCCCCCTCCCCGCAGCTGCCAGTGCCGCCCACCTCTCTTGGCATCGCTCTTGGTATGCGGTCTGGGCCAGGGCCTCCCCCAACCCCCCAGGCCCCGAACAACAGGCTCTTTCTCCTCAGCCTCTCCTCCGACCTGCGAGCCCCTGACCCCGTCTCTGTCCCCAGCCGGGTCAGCTGCAGAGATATGCACACAGTCCCTTTCTTTCTCTCCCCAAGCCCTCGATGGAGGAGGGCAGACCTCGGAGCAGCCTCAGCCTAGCCAGCAGCGCCTCTACCATCTCCTCGCTCGGCAGCCTGAGCACCAAGGTTCGAGCTTCTTGGTGGAGCTGGGGGGCTAGCGGGGGGGCCAGGGCTCTGGGCTGCCCCATCCTCCTGTTTCCTAGGCCTGGGTTCAGCGCCACCCTAGGGACTCTGGTTGTTAAGAGCAAGGATCCTTAGCAACGAGGTCTCCCAGACCTAGTAAGGTCCCAAATTGCCCACCAGTTGCAGTTAGGAATTCAGAGCCACTCCCAACTGTCCCCACCCCTCCTATTTTCCTAATTTGAAGCCAGAGTAATAACTCGGCTTGACTCTGGTTGCTGAGATAGGGCCACTCCCCAGCCATGAGCCCCGCCTCCCCCCAGTAACTCAGATGTGGTGGCTACTCTTGATTAGGACTGAGAACTCCCTGGCCTGTCTCTAGCCATCCCATCTAACCAGCTCTGAAATCCGATAAGGAAAGACCTTTCTCTGACAATAAGACCCCGTGAGGCCTGAGATAGTTGCATCCTAAATCTTCACCCCAGCCCAAAGTTCAGTGATGACACTCATTTTCTTCTCCTTCTGTCATTCTCTTCACTCATGTCCATTTTCCCGAGTTCAGAATCCATAGATTTGATCCTGATCTTGGTCAGTACCATCCCCAAGGAAGGGCATCCTGTGGGAATCTGGCTGTGGATGCCTGAAATGCTTGTGTGCACAGGAGAGGGGGCTCCATCTGCTGGGAGAGGTTTGGAGCCATCTCTCTACCGTGGACATGGTTGCTAAGGGATGTCACTACCCGGCACCGAGGTGTCCTTCGATTCTGGCCGACCCATTTCCAGGGACTCAGCATGGAGGACCCTCCTGATGATGAGGACCTCCCAGGCAATATTTCCAGTTCGGATCCCACAGGCTGTCCTACATCCCTGACTCTGGTGGCCAAGGGCATCCTTTCCTTGGCAGTGGACTCTTGATTCCCAAATGCCTTCCCCATCAGCCAGTAGCCTCTTCCTTGCCTCCGAACACCTCCGTCTGCCCATCCAGAGTGTCTCTCAACTCTGCACGGTGCACACGCAATTCCGATCTCGAAACTCAGCTCCCTCCTTGACCTGGTTTCTAAAGGCAGCCAAGTGAGGGCCTCAGGTTGCCTGCGTCCCGCTGCACCACCTCCCCAAGCCCATCCCGAGGCCTTGTTCACTTCTGTTCTCCTTCTCTCCTCAGAAGCCCACCCGGGCAGTAAGCAAGGTCCACGCCTTCGGGAAGAGGGGCAATGCGCTCAGAAGGGATCCCAACCTCCCCGTGCACATCCGAGGCTGGCTTCATAAGCAGGTGGGGTGAGCAGGAGAAGAGAAAGGACACCCCCGGTTACGCTAGAGGCTGTGCCCCTGGCTGTCTGCTGTTTCTCTCCTTCCAAGTCTCCAAATAGGTTTCTTTTTTTCCATCACTACTTCTCTTATTCTGCCATTGTTTCATTCATCCACTCATTCATTCAATGACGACTTCTTGAATATTTACAAGGTACCAAGCCCTGGGGCACTTACGCAAATAAGACAAACAAGTGTCTATAGTACTGTACATTCAAGATGGGGGTGGGGCAGGGATGGATAATGAATTCATACATATAAATAAATGGACTCGATGGTTTCAGATTGTAGGAACTGCTGCGAAGAAATAACACGGGGATGTGCTCAAAAGTGGCTGAGGGATGAGAGCTGCGTTTGACTGTTGGTCAGGGAAGGCTTCTCTGAGATGACATTTGAGCTGAGAACTAAAGGACAAGAAGGAGCCCTTCGTGCTAAGATCTGGGGGGCAGAGGGAATCCGAGAGCGAAAGACCCTGCAGCAGGTCAAAGCTTGGTGTTTGGAGCGAGCCAAGGGGGGAGAGAGAAGGTTTGGCAGGGCAGCCATTCTCAACGTGTCCTGGACCAGCAGCATCAGTGTCACCTGGGAACATGCTGGAAATGCACATTGTCAGGTCCCACCCTGGATCTACTGACTCAGGAGCTCTGGGGACGGGTCCCAGGAACCTGTGTTTTAACAATGCCTCTTGGTAATTTTTATGCATGCCCAAATTTGAGATTCTCAGCAAGCCAGTAAACTAGGGTAAGGAATTTGAGATTTATTCTAAGCGTGATGGTAAACTCTGTTTTGAGCAGGGAACTCACATGATCTGCCATAATTTTAAAAGATCATGCTGGCTTCTGTGGGAACGGATTGAAGAGGAGAAGAGGGGCATAGGGTTAGAGATGGTGGAGCAGTTCAAGCAGAGATGATGGGAAGACAGGATTGGGGTTACGGCCTCTCTGTCTCAGGCTCCAGAATAATCGGACCAAGTCTGGAATATAAAGCTGCTACCCACATGTGGTACAGTATCTCGTTCCAATATTCCTGTAACTTCTCAGTCCCCAAGTGACAGATGAAGGTCCTAGTGGAGAAATGACTTGTTTAAGGGCATAGTGGTGGGGCTAGAAGACACACTCAGGTTGGGCTGTATCCAGAATCGATGGCCTTTCAACCACAACATGCTGGCTTCCAGTTCTCCATCTGAATCTATTGCGTCAAACATGCGTCTCTGCTACTTTCCTCTCTTTGGGTCTCTGTCCCCAAGTGTCACTGTCTCCTTCTCCTTTTTTCCTCTCCGCTGTACTCAGGCCTCTC